AAGCAACGCGAGGAAAATAGAAGCAGCGATGAAATGCCAGAAGAAGAAGAAGAAGAAAGAGAAGGAGAAGAAGAAGAAGAGGAGGCGGAAGTGCGGGGATGAGGAAGTAGTTTGCTCCATCAGAAGGTGCAGTTTCCAGTCTCCGCTCCGTCAGAAGGTGGTGTCCTCCGTCTCGGCTCCGTCAGAAGGTGGTGTCCTCCGTCTCCGCTCCGTCAGAAGGTGGTGTCCTCCGTCTCCGCTCCGTCAGAAGGTGGTGTCCTCCGTATCGGCTCCGTCCAGCATGTCTAAGAACACCGTCTCTGACCGCTTCCGGAAGGTAGATGTAGATGAATACGATGAGAACAAGTTTGTGGATGAAGAGGAGGGCGGGGAGAGCCAGGGAGGTCCGGATGAGGCGGAGGTGGACTCCCTCCTCAGACAGTATCCTAACGCTGCGGTGGCTGTGCGGGTCGCTGCGGTGCTGCTTCCCGCAGGATAATGCTCTATGTAGAAGCTACAGCTTGCTAGCCTTTATTAGCTTTAGCTTTGCTCAGATCAGACTGAGCTTCCGGTGTCAGAGCGTCTTTACCTTATAAGGTCATCATGTCTGTCCTTAACTTCCTGCCTTCAGAGGGAACATGGCTGCAGCTCTGCTCGCCGTCCTGAAGAACCCTCCCATCAACACCAAGAACCAGAGCGCTAAGGTAGGACCGGACAGAACCACTTCCTGAGGAACAGGAAGTAAATCTGATTGGTTCCTTCGTTCCTCCAGGACCGCGCGGAGCAGCTGGTGGTCAAGGTGCTGAGCAGCTTCAAGAGCAGCGACATCGAGAAAGCGGTGAGCTCCCTGGACAAGGCTGACGTCGACCTGCTGATGAAATACATCTACAGAGGCTTCGAGAAACCGTCCGACAACAGCAGCGCCGTCCTGCTGCAGTGGCACGAAAAGGTAAGAACGCTGCAGCCTCCGCCATCAAGCTCCGCCCCCCTCTCACATCCTGCTGCAGCCTCCGCCATCAAGCTCCGCCCCTCTTACCGTCCTGCTGCAGCCTC